GCGGCAGGCAGTGCCCCACACCGCGCGGGCGCCCTCGCTGCGGCGCTGTCCGCGGAGCCGGTCAGCAACGGGGCTCCTTCTCGGGCCGAGCCCGAGGCTGAACTGTCTAGGGCGCAGAGGGCTTTTAAAGGCTGGCTTCTTTGACTTGTACATAACAAAACCTACGGGAAGGCTGCGTGTGACTTCCAAAATACCGGACTGCATCTACTGTCTCGAAGCAGAGCCGCTTTTGAGATTCTGTAGGCAGGCCACAGCCCTGCGGGAGAGGGCCTCCGCGGCGGACACCCCGGACGCACGGCGAGGGCCGGCGGGGCGCTGCTCCCACAAGGTGAGACTTGCCAGCTCATCTGCAGACTGGAGCTACTCAAGCTCAAAGCTTCCCAGGCGGCGATGTGACCCACGGGCTGACGGGTGATGAGGCTGACTGACGGCTACAGTTAGCAGCCGAAATGGACAGCGAGTCGGGGCGAGGATGGAGGGTCCTCCTGCAACCCCAAGTCCAGAGGGTCCCCGAGTGGACACGGACATGAGACTTCTGGATTCCTGCGGGCCAGGTTGGCGTGCCAGGAAGATCCGCTTACCAGTGCCCAAGCAGGCCACTCCCGACACACTCAGCCCTGGGCGCAAGGCCACCCGCCCGGGACCTGCATGTGCCCACTGCCCTGGCCACACGTGACGAGTGGCACTCGGGTGCAGTGGCCCTCAGCTGAAAAGTGACTTAAAGGTCAACAGATTTCACAAGGCAATTCCTAGTCAACACAGCATCTCTGAGACACTCTGGCATTTTTCTAAGAAGCCGTTTGGGCTCATGGTAAATGACACTAAAATTCATGCTGCAAATCCCAATCTGGGCATCGTTAAGTGCTCCGAACATGCCAGAACAAAGTCTGGCTAAGAAGCAAAGCCAAGCGAGTGGGGCCCCTGTCTGGGGAGGGTGCTTGGTGCTTGCCAAGGACCCCGCCTCCCCCACCTCCACGGCCCCAGCCCCCACCCGAGGCCGCCCGGACGCTGCTCACATCCACCCTCACACTGCTTCTGCGCTCGGGAGCCCTGCTTGGTCATCTCCTGGGCGCCTCTGCATGGAGGTCCGGCCCTTGGGGACAGGTCTCCCACCCCATTGGCCCCAGATAGCGGCCAGCCGGACCCAGGCGGGACGTGATGTCTCCTGCACTGGCCTTGGCAGGGAGGCCCCACACCGGCCGCACCGGCCACCTTCCCCGCCAGTGCCGTCCTGCCTGTCCCTCTGCCTTGCCCGCTGGGGCCTGGCTGGCCCCCCATCCGCGAGGAGGACGTGCACCGCCCCGTGTCACCCTTGGACACCCCCTGCATGTGCGACACCCAGCCACGCCCCACCCGCCCCGCCTCATCGTCGCGCCCCGAAAACTGGACGGCGGCCCAGGAAGAGCAGGTGGGCACACCCCTGCACAGCCAGGAGCTCGGCAGAACTCTCAAGGCGCTCTCTGATCCCTCGGCAAACCCGTCGGGCAGTTTGAAACGTGGACGTCGCTTTAGTCTGTCTGTGGAGGCTGTCCCAAGGACTCACAGACATGTCTGTGGAGACGGGACAAAGCCAGCGGTCGTGAAGGGCACGCCGCTGGCCCCTTGGCTCTGGGGGGCGGAGTGCAGGGCCAGCTCCTAAGGGCAGGTCCGGGGGGGAATCTGGCTCCTCCTCTCCAGCAGGGAGCAGTGTGGGACACAGCCTGGCCCACCACAGCTGCAGTCGGAGGCAATCTCCAGCAGAGCTGGACCTGCGGTCAGCGGCCTTCCTCCTCTGTGCCGCGGCCTCGGTGCAGAGGCTGCCCGCCGGGCCTGGCTTCTGTCTATGGGAAGGAAAGCTGGGGCTCACTGTCCCCCGAGCCCCGGGGCGAGGCTTTCAAGTAACACTCGAACCCTCAGGCAAGAGGGCCAACACGAAGCATAGCTGGCCGGCACCAGTCAGAGCAGGACGCGCGGACGCCGCCCGCACAGCCAGGCCCGAGCCGCGGAGCCACGCCACGGGAGATCTGGCCGCACCTGCTGCTGCGAGGCTGCCGCGAGGCTGGGCAGCGTCCAGGGGGCTGTCGCTGGCCGGGAAGGAAGCAGACCGAGCTCATCTTCCCCACATCCGCACCCAAAAGGCAGCCGAGCTCCCCAAGCCAAAGGACTCTTTGCTAGGGCACCGAGTGGGAGAAAGTGCTGGGCGTGTTCGCCCGGGCAGCACTGTGACTCCCAGCGGACAGCCGAGGGACTGCGGGCGGGCTGGGTGTCCGCGAGTAGCCTCTTCACCAGGCCGCCCTGGAGTCACCCTGCAGTTCCCCTTCCCGGACCAAAGTGCTGAGCATCGCGAAGCCCGGCCCGCGCCCTCGGGAGAAGCCGGTCTACCGTGGCACCAGGCTTTGCGGTGCGCCAGCGACACGCAGCTGGTAGGGCCGACTCCCCTGGGCGGGGTCAAGTACCTTCTGCTTCCCGATGTCCACCAGCTCCACCGAGCCGCCCAGCTGCCGGATGTCCCCAGCCGCCACCTCCATCATCCTCTTGATCTCGCCTCGCTTCTCCGGCCACGCGGACACACTCTGGATGGCCACCCATTCTGCGAGCTTCTGTGTGTGGGCAAGCAGACAGGGGTCAGGACAGGCGCTCCTGCAGGGAGCGTGCCCACGGCCGCCGGCCCGCAGGGCTGCACCGGGGCGCCGCGGGGCCTGCGTCGTTCAGGATTTTGAATGCGTCTGTATGGCAGACAGGAGCTGCAGCGGGAGAGAAAGACGCCAGGAGCTGCATCTTTGGCTGCTAAGTAGGAACTGAGGCAAAATGAAAAGTTCGGTGAGTTTCTGTCTGAATCCAAGAAGATCAGAACCAGGATATAGAAAACACCCAAACCTCCACGGTCCCACCTGCTCCCGATGCAGTCTGAGCGTGGCCCAGGGCTCCGAAGGCCACTTCTGAGTAAGGCCCTGCCAGCCGCCTGCCAGGAGGCTGCGTGCAGCATGTTCCCTAAGGCACCGGACACCACCTGGCCACTTCGGACGTGCCAGTAAGTGCCAAATCGTCCTTTGCAGTGCGTTAGCACTAGGAATGGCCGACGGACAGGAAACAGAAATCTCCAAACGCTTCGCTATTCCTAGAAACATACTAAGGCCACACGCGCGCGGGCGAGCCACACGCTGTAGCCAGAGGGCAGGGGCCTCTTCGTCACCTTCCCTCTGAGGTGAGAACAGCCCCCGGAGCCCGGGCTCAGGGTCCCCACCTGGATCCACCTGGGGCGCCTCCCCCCACGGGCCCACCCAGCAGGCCCCTTCCAGCCCTCCTGGGGGGCCCTCCTCCCCCCACTGAGTGCTGCCTGCCTGCTGGGCCTCCAGCTCCGTCCTTCTCTGCCGAGAGGGCGTTTCCCAGTCTGGGTCTAGGCAGCACGAGCAGTGTGCACAGCGGCCTCACCTTGATGTAGCGTTCCTGGTTCTCATCCACGTACTTAAACAGGGTGGCGAGGCCAGACATCCTTCCCACAGAAGCAGAAGCTGGAGTTGGAGAGCAGAGAGCAGAGAGCTGAGTAGGGCGGGAGGGCAGGGAGGGCGCTTTAAAGGGAGCTCCACCCAGCCCCGGCCAGTCCCCGGCCCAGGAAGTGAGCGCACAGACAGCCCCTTGGGGCGGCTCCTCCCTCCATCTCTTCTCTGTGATTGAGTGCACAGGTTGTTCCCACAGGCAGGCCGGAGCTGGGCAAGCTGATGAAAATCTAGTCTGGGCTCCCCCACACTGACACACCAGCGTGGAAACGACTTTTTAAGGAGGTTTTGTACGCCGAAGCCTCCTGGAGAAGCCCCGTACCCTGAGCAGTCCTCTCTTCCGCCCTGCTCTGCCCCCTCTGACCGGTCAGGAGAGCGGCGGTACAAAGGACAGGCGCTGGCCTCTCCCTTCCTCCCACTGACAAGCTCGACTCCACCTTGGGGCCTTTGAGCTTAAACAGCCCTGAGAAGCTGGGGGCGGGTCCCCTGGGCTGGAACCCTGGCTGGGGAGTCCCAGGACCCCAGCCGTGCTGTGTACCCACAGACCGTAGTCACAAAGCCAAAGTTGTTGCCTGGCACGGGGGTCCCCTGAGGTTTCTGAGCAGAGCTGCGACACCCCACGAGGGGTCAGTGGGCTGTGCCGCGGTTCTGGGGTGGGGGGCTGCTCCTGCCGCCTCTTTACTCACCTTCAACCCCCACACAGGCGCTCCCTGGCCACAGCCTCGCGGCCACAGCCCCAGGCGCGCTCGGTGACTTCAGCAGTGGCTCTTTTAAACCTTCACCCACCCAGCGCCAAAAGCGTAAACAGGGAACCTGTGTTCCAGACCGTAAATCCCGAGATTCCCAGTCAGGCAGCGCAATTAACTCATGACTTTCCAGCTAAGGTGGTTCAAAGGCCACAGGTGCCAGCTGCACCTGTTACCTGGGAGGGAGAACCAGGTACCTGAGGGCTCTCCAGGGCCAGCAGCTCCTCCTCTGAACCAGGGACGGATCCTGCCCAGGTCCGGCCAGTCTCCCTCCCACCCACAGTTCTGGGTATGCCTGGCCAGGACCCACCAGCCATCAGAACCACAGCCGTAAACCAGACGCCTGCACAGGCGACACCACAAACTCAGGTAACAGCCAGTGCTGTGCCACAGTGAGCGAAAGCTAATCGGACCATTTCACAGTAGGCACTGGCCTCACTCATGGCAGTGTGGGGGTAACAGCTTCAACCGTGACATTAGTTGTGGGGGGAAGGCGCTCTGGTAGCTCCTAGGGCCTTCTGGCAGGATCTATAGGTGAGTCTCCGAGTTCTTCAGGTCCCCACCCTTGTCCCTCTGCGCGGAAGGCATACATACTGCAGCAGGGCTGCAGGGCTGCGAAGAACCCACCAAAATGGGAGGGCCCCTCCATTTGCACCATCTAGAGCTGGTTCCGGAGGCACAGCTCCATAAGGAGGTCTGGCTGCTTCCCTCCCAGCCTCAGAACAGGGGATTCAGCAGGGACACAGATTCTCCGCCCCCCGCAGGGGTGGCCACGGAAGTTCCACATCCCCCTGGCAGGTGGGGCCCGGCCCTGGACCTCCACATCAGTTCTCCATCTCGGGCCCCAAGACCCGGGGCGGGCCGTCAGCACTAGCCGGAAGCTCCGCAAAGGCCTCTGACCAAGGGCTGCCCTGGGTCCCCGCGGCCTGGCAGACTGGGGTGCGCCGGGCGGGCCTCCGCGCGTCCCCGCCAGGC